AAGTTACTCTGCTTTCTTGGCCCTGCAGATGGGGGAGCGAGCATGGAGATCTAGTTTGTACTCTACTTTGCCACTAGAGAAGGTCTGAGGCAGAAAGCCCAGCTGGGCTCTTTAGATTCTCCTTAGCTTGCTCATCATCTTTTGGCTTAAAAAAAAAAAGTTGTTTGAACTGGAATCAGCAAGTTTAAGACAGACCACACCACCAGTTAGTCATTTTTCTGCAGAACACTTCACTGGAAAGGCTCCAAATGGGGGTGTCTTAGAGGAGACTGGATAATTAGAGTTAATGATCAGAGTTGCCCCTCTGGTCTGACCAGCTGGCCAATATCCAGGGCCCAGCAAGGTCATTTCTATTAGGAGGAGAAATAGAGGAGTCAGTATTCTTGGTGTTACCTTGTTTATTCACAACATCCAGAGTCCTGTTTCCCAGCAGGCAGTTTCTTTGCTCTGAAATTCCTAAGCCTGCCATTCCAGCATGCTCTATGCACAAGAAGCTTCCTCTGAGGGTCATGCTCACAATTCCTTGTCCTGACTCTCTGCATCCAACACCAACTCTTAGCTCCTTCATTGGCAACTCATCAGTCCACACAGCTTTACTCTGACCTGCCATGCATCCTAGTGCCTTTGGCGGTAGCCCCCCATTGTTTGCAGCTGTTTTTACTACACAGAGGGGCTTAATTGCTTCTGAGTCTGCAGCTGTCTTCATGGACAAAAAGTGCATTTTTACCAGGAGCTAAACCCCCCCCTCCCCCCGTCATCTATCCCGCTATACAATCCTGGTGGTGACAAGGCCCTGTCATTTTACTGCAAGGTAAACTAAGTGAGGTCAACCATGGGCAGAGGGAAGACACTGTAATGAGATAGCTGGGTGAGGTCTGTACAATGACAGGGCCTTGTCTCCACAAACAGTTTTCCTGCTGAAAACAAAATAAAGACCTACCCACCCACGTTTTTGGGGGGGTGGGGGGGGATGACAGTGAAGATGTAGTTCAAGGATTTGTCTATACACAGTTATTCAAGGACAGCTATTGAGCTTTGAATTCACAACATACTTGAATCTGAATTAACTTTCAAACGCAGACATGCTCCAGGAGTACTTGGCGAACCCACAGGCTTTAACAAGGGTTGTGATTGTCTTTGGATCCCAGCCACACCTACTGGCACCCAGGAGCACCTTTTGGCATAATAGCAATAGAGAGTTATAATTTCGCCTATTTGAACTTAGACAAAGGCAATAATAATTCATTGGCAACAGGCAGTTAGAGATTTCTCCTCTTTTGTAAGAGACATTTGCATCCCTGACCCAGACTAAGCCAAGCAACTAAAGCATTGGCGCCCTTAACTCTCCCTTGCAAAAGGCAAGGAAACAAACCAGGTCACAAAAAAATATGCAACAACCCCACTAGGAAGAGAACACTTTGGCTGCTATTTCTGATTTTACAACACAGGCAACAAGACTATTTTGGATGGGTTAATTAACCCTCTCACCTTTCCACCCTACTATTCTAGTGGTGCTCCCCAAAGACCACGGACTTCTTGTGCTGCTGCCCTTGGGGCATAGATAAAGCTACATCGGATGTCTTTACCTCCTAGGAGCTCCTAAGAGCTATTTTTAGCCTTTTTTCTAGACTTGAGGCAGACAGCTTCGTTTTAGACGTTAACCCATGCTTGACAGTTCAAAGCTCTGCTTTACCATCCCCCTACCCAGCCTCCGCATGGCTAATGCTGGAATGCCTGCCCAGAGCAGCACTCCAGTCTCAGCCCCACCCTATGCAGCACTTGCTTTGCCTGGCAGCAGACTCAACACAGAGGCAACATTGCATCAGACAGACAGGACTCCACCTACATCAAACCCCCGCATCTCCTAAAGACAAGACCAGTGGTGACTCCCTCCCTGTTTGGTTTGGTTCCTGAAAAAGCCAGGGCATCTAATGCAAGCTACATTTTCATTCCACTGAAGTGAGGGAGTTTCAGCATAAGACACTGGCTTACGTGGAAGCTGGCCACTGGCAGAGCACTACGTTGGAGCCCCTGGGCAAGAGATGGCTTCAGTAGCTAGCTTGCTAGCCCCGAGCCACATAAAAAGCCCATAAAGAACACAAAGAGACTGTTCAAATGTCAGTCCTTGTGCCTCATTTCACATGAATCATGCGTAAGACGTTACGCTTTTGCCAGGAAGAGGGGAAATTCTGACAGGCTGTTCCAATGAAAGGAGGAGATTCAGTCTGTTAGGGACACAGCAGCACCTCGGCCATGAAGCCAACAAGAATAGAGGGTAGTTCAGAGCAAGTGTCCAAAACACAGCTAGCTAATTCTCTGCCCAATAGGCATTACACTCCAAGTGTGGGACTAGGACATAAGTCATCTATGCAGGGATTTTTGGTGTTAGTTGATGGAGAACTCCTGCAACAAGAAATTTCTGTTCATCCATCAAAACAGGAACAGGGCATCTATCTGATTTAAGCATGTAAATAGACACAAATGAAGCATAGGAGCGTGCCGCTATTGCAAAGCTTGGTCATCTCTCACGTTGGGGCTCCACGACCAGCAGTGCAGTGATCAAAGATACTGCGCTGGCCAAGACAGACAATAGCCAGTGCTAGTGTCTATCCTCCCCCGCCACTTATCAGCTCTCTCACAGACAAGGAGCAGCCTGTTGCCACAACAGGCTCTCTCCATCAGCAACAAGCTTGACTCCTTCACTCAGTGTCCAAATGCCACTCCAGGCTAGCAGCTCAACCAATCCCAACTCCCACCTGACAGACTCAGGATGTCAGATTTATACCAGCACAACATGGTCGTCACCCCAGATTTCAAACTAATCCTTTCACAAAGAGCCTTTGCGTTCATCAATTGTGATCTGGGGTTATTTGTCCTCCTCCAAGTCAACTCCCTTGGGCACGAAGTTAGTATGAAAGATGCTATAGAAGGCTGGTCTTTGTGGTTCTAATCCTCTCTCTGCCACAGCCTGCATGACTGTGGGCAAGTCACAACACAGGGATAATGCCTACCTCACATCCCTGCTCCACCCAGACCGGGATCTAGTTATCTGTATAATTCAGAAACAAAGAACATTTGATGGTTCAGGAGCTTAGTCCGCTTTGCCTGCGTTGCCTCTGCCCTTGGGGTGAGCTAAGGCTATACTCATTCAGCAGCAAGTTACAGGCTTTGTGACAACAATTCTCTTCCTTATGGGCTGCATGACACTTCTCTCATCCCCAGCTACCAAGGAGAGACTTTAATTCAACCACCACTCACTGTGACTCAGCAGATTCGGGAGGATCTTCTGTGTTCCAGGCAACTGCTATCACAAATAGACTCTCCCTACTAGGTTTTTTGTTAAAAGCTATGAGGAAAAAAAAAACCCTGCCCTTAACTCTAGGGGAGAGACAGAGATGCCATTAGGTTTCATAACATGACGCGGTCTCCTTCCCTTTCTCACAGTGGCAGGCTGCTACGTAGCAGTCTGCAACCAGATTGGGAATATCTACTGCAAATGGACCACACTGACTAATTGAAACCCTGAAAAGAGTAAAGCCCTGGTAGAGTGTCAGCATCTGACACAGCCCAAAGGGATCTCTCCCTTTTATACTTTGGCAACACTTGTATAGCTTGACACGTCAACTAAGTATTAATGAATTAACAGCCTAGAGGCCAGGCTGCCTCTGCATACAGACACCATGAGCAAGAGGATGTCTGTAACGGACATGCGAAGTTTACATCAGACACAAGAACTGCAATATGCAGGCCATGTTGAGTCAGAAGTGTTGGGGACTATCACATTCCTCTGGTCTCCTGTTGGATCTCCCACCATTCCGGACATACTACATGGCTTGAAGTGCCAATCAGGTCTTTACAAGCTTCCCATAGGTGACTTGGTGACTATGTTATCTTGGTGACTTGCCCAATATAACACAAGACTGGCCATACTGGGTCAGACCAAAGGTCCATCCAGCCCAGTATCCGGTCTGCCGACAGTGACCAATACCAGGTGTCCCATTGGGAGTGAACCTAACAGGTAACGATCAAGTGATCTCTCTCCTGCCATCCATCTCCATCCTCTGACAAACAGAGGCTAGGGACACCATTCCTTACCTATCCTGGCTAATAGCCATGAATGGACTTAACTAGATAAATTCATGGAGGTTCTCTTTTAAACCCTGTAATAGATACCTACACTGTATCCCAGTTTCCCAAACTGTACCGGGAAAGGAGGTTGGGAGTCTAAAGTCTTTCTTGGGATCTCCAGATGAGGGGAGTGCCGTGCGGGAGGCAAGGCACATTCTCATCCAACATGTCCTGCTCATCTCTCATCCCAGCATGTTACAAACTCAACCAACCAGACACTCAAGAGACCCACAGAGCTTTAGGCTTCAGGCAGCCCTGGGTATGGGACACGTGTCTGTTTTCCCTTCGCTACCGGAACAAGTCTTGCCTAAGGCCTGGTCTACACTACGGGATTAATTCGGATTTAGCAGCGTTAATTCGAATTAACCCTTCACCCGTCCACACTACAGAGCCATTTAGTTCGAATTAAAGGGTGCTTTAAATCGATTTCTGTACTCCACCTCGACGAGCGGAGTAGCGCCAAAATCGATTTTGTTAATTCGAATTAGGGTTAGTGTGGCCGCACACCACCGAATTAATATGGTTAAAATAAATGGGGTAGTGTGGCCGCACACCACCGAATTAATGTGGTTAAAAACCAAATTAAGGTGCTTAGTGTGGCCGCGCACAATCGAATTTATACAACCTGTTTCCCAAATTCGAATTATCTAAATTCGGATTAATCCCGTAGTGTAGACATACCCTAAGACAGGGTCCTCCACGCTCCCCAGGTGCCCGCAGACACCAGCGCCGAGGTATGTACAGCGCCGAGGTATGTACAGCGCCGTCCCCCCGCTCGTATCCTCAGGAGGATGGGGGGATTGCAGCCCCGCTCCCCCATACCCGCTATGCAGCTGCCCCAGGGGACACGTGGCTCCCCCCCGGCTTCTCACCTGATGAGATCCAGGAAGGAGTCCGCCACCTCCTTGGCCTCGGGCACGGCGCCGTCCCCGTCGCCCCCTAGGCTGGGCGGCGCGGCCCCCTGCCCGGGCCGGATGATGAAGGCCAGGCTGACCCCGAGGGCCGAGGCCAGCAGCGTGGTGAGCAGGAAGAAGAGCATGGCCCAGCCCCCCAGGCGGCCCAGGGCGGCGGGGTCCAGGCTGGCGGCGCCGGAGACCAGGCTGCAGACCACCAGCGGCAGGATGATCATCTTCAGCAGGCGCAGCAGCAGCTCGCCGGGGAAGGAGAAGGCGAGGACCCCGGCGCGGCTCAGCCCGCCCGGCACCTGCCGCACGCCGAGCCCCACCGCCACGCCGGCCAGCACCCCGGCCACGGTCAGCAGCACCAGCAGGTTGGCGCGCAGGCAGCCCCGCGCGCGGGCGGCCTGGGAGGGGGAGCCCGGCGCGGGGAGGAGGGTCCCGTCGCCGGCGTCCGGCGGGCCGACCTCCCCGTTGGAGGCGCCCTTCTCCCCGGCGCCCGGGAGGCGGGCGCGGTCCCTACACGCGGCCATGGCCCGCACGGGTCCCGATGCGCGCGGGGGCGGGTGGAGGAGCCTCGAGACAGCGCGCGCGAGCGCCTCGACCTGGGGCGCGAGCTGCCGGCTTGTGAGAACAGGGAAGCCGCGAGCTAGCGGCGGCGCTTTTGCGGAGCGGCGAGGGGGCGGGGCACGGGCGGTGATTGGTGGAAGCGGTCCAAGGGGGCGGGGCCATGAGGGCGGGAGAATGAACGGCGGAGCGGCCAAAGGCTGGCGGGGGAGGAGACGGGACCAGGCTACTGGATAGGGGAGGGGCTAAGTCGCGAGGGAGGGCGGGGCAAGGAGGAGAGGGTTTCCCGCCCAAAAGGCTCTGCCCAACTGCCGGTTGTGGGGGGAGGGGGTTGTTGTCTGCCCACATATTACCTCAGTAGGGAAGTTGTGCCCCCACCTACACACAGCCACCCACAAGCCTATGTCACCAAAACTCCCTTTACGCAGGCGGGTCCCTCCCGCCTCTGATTCATCCTCCCCGAGTTCTCACATCAGACCACGCTCGCCACACAAAGCCCCTCATCCGCCATGTGCCAGGGACACCTTGCTGGTGGCCGTGACACCGCCTCTGTGCGCTTAGCCCCTGCGCCTCCAGTCCCATCACCGCACCCGACCACCAGATCCCTCCTCCTCCAGTCCCCTCAGAAACACCTCAGAGCACATAGCCAGCCCCGAACTCCGTCTGCTGCCCTGCCTGTTAGCCAGCGGCTGGACGGTGCCTCCCAACTGTCAGCGCCTGTGTCTCAGCCACACAACTGCCACCACCCAGCCACCCAACAGTTATTCCCAACTACCATCTCCCACCCAACAGTGCTTCCCAACTGTCACCGCCTGTCTCTCAGCCACACAACTGCCCCCACCCAGCCACGCCTCCCAACTGCCATCTCCCACCCAACAGTGCCTCCCAACTGTCACCGCCTGTGTCTCAGCCAAACACCTGCCAC